CAGCCTTCCAAGTAACTGGAACTACAGGTGCGCGCTACCACACCCGGCTAATTTTTTGATTTATTGTAGAGATGAGGTCTCGCCAAGTTGCCAGGCGAGTCTCGAACCCACAGGCTCAGGCAATCCACTCACCTTGGACTCCCAAAGCGCGGGATTACAGGCTGAGCCACCGAGCCCAGCCAACTTTTGTTTGTTTGTTTGTTTTGTTTTGAGACAGTGTCTCACTATGTTGCCCAGGCTGGAGTGCAGTGGCTGTTCACAGACCTGAACATAGCGTACTACAGTCTCGAACTCCTGACTTTAGCCTCCTAGATGTGCCTCCTGGTGCCCACCTATCTTAACCATTTGTAAGTGTCCATTTCAGTGAACATTCACATTGATGTGCAACCATCGCCATCATCCATCTCTGGAATTCTTTTCATTTTGCAAAAGTGAAACTCTATGCCCTGGCAACTACTATTCTACTTTGTGTCTTTATGAATTTGGCTACCTCTTTCAAGTCAAGTAAATGTCTACACCTAACCATCCAGTATTTGTCTTTTTGCGACTAGTTTATTTCACCTAGCATGATGTCCTCAAGTTTCATCTGTGTTGTATGGATGTTGCACATTTTGCTTATCTATTTATCTGTGGGGGGATAGTTGAGCTGCTTCCGCATTTTAGCTATTGTGAATACTACTGTTTTTTGGGTTGTGGTTTTTTGTTTTTTTTTTAAGTTATTGTCTCACTCTGTTCCACAGGCTGCAGTCCAGTGGCACACTCACGGCCACCGTAGCCTCAACCTGCTAGGCTCAGACGATTTTTCTGCCTCAGCCTTTCAAGCAGCTGGAACTACAGGTATGTGCTACCTTGCCTGGCTAATTTTTTTTTTTTAATTCATTGTAGAGATGAGGTCTTGAACTCCTGGGCTCAGGCAATCCTCTCACCTCAGCCTCACAAAGTGCTGGGATTATAGGCTTGAGCCACTGCACCCAACCATTATCATTATTACTATTTTTTTAGAGACTAGGTCTCAAACTCCTGGATTTAAGGAATCCTCCTGCCTCAATCCCAAAGTGCTGGGATTACAGGCATGAAGCACTATGCCCAGCACCTAATTTTTTTTTTTATTTTTTGTAGAGAGTAGTTCTCATTATATTGCCCAGGCTGGACTTAAACTCCTGGGCTGAAGCAATCCTCTTACTCAGTCTCCCAAAGTGCTGGGATTACAGGCCTGTGCCTGACTGTCATTTCTCTTATTCCAATATTTTCCCATGCAGTTGTTTCCTTCATTGCATTGTCTATTTCCTTCCTTTCTTCTTTGTTTTTCTTCCTTCCCTCCCCCCCTTCCTTCCTTCTTTCATTTCCTTCCCTCCCTCCCTCTCTCCCTCCCTTCCTTTCAACAGGGTCTTGTTCTGT